ACTGGACACCGGGTGAGGGCGCAGCCGGGTGGGAGAGGTGGGGGGGGGGGGGGGGGGGGCATGGGTTGAGGTGGGAATTGATCTCCCTGGCCGATCATTTTTTCCCGCGCACTCAAGGGTCCTGTTCCGCGCACCTCCTCCGGCAGTCCGGTCTCCGTGCCGGATGCCGCACGCAGGCCGGGCCAGCACGAAGTGCCTATTTCTGCCCCGGGACCGACCCCCCTCGCATTTGTACACCACTCTCCTTCTCTCTCTCTCTCCCCCCCCGCCGCCCTTGCCCGCCCCGCCGCCAGATGCTTTGACGTTAGTGATCCCCGACACTCCCTTTCCCCTTTTGCGTTGTCCACCCCTCGACCGGTTGCTGACGCGCCCCTCCTTTTCCTCTCCCCCCGGCACATTGAGCAGGGAGTGTGTCCTCCTCTCAATCGAAGCCAGGCAGTTCGCGACCCCCCGCAGCAGTTCCCCCCCTTTCTCTCCGCCACCCCATCACACGCACCTCAATGGCGCCGCCCCCGGCCCCAGCTCCTGCCCAAACCAGCCTCCTCCTCCCGCCTCTGCTCTCGCCACTTCACCCTGGTCCCAGCCCCGGGCCGAGCTCCTATTCGCCGCACCAACTGCGGGCCTCATCGCCGGGCGCCTCGCGTTTCGCCTCCCCGGACGGCCTCTTTCCCTCACCGGACTTCCCCGGCTTTCCCGGTTACCTCCCTTCCCCATCGAGTACGCCCCCCGGGTCGGCGCTCCTATCCTCAGCTGCTGGTGCCGGCGCTCCGCCTTCTCGGATTGGCAGCGGCCCCGGCGGCAGTGGCACTCTCCCACCCTTGAGCTCGGTCGGCGAGCGCCTGGCTTCCGCCTTCGGTGAAACCCTTGCCTCTGCAGCGTCCCGTCACCCAGGCCTCCTCCTGGCCCCCAGCCCACCACCCACCATGTCCCTGCCGCAGCACCATAACCCCCCCGGGTCCCTCGCGCCTGGGTCTCGCACAGGCTCCTCCTCCTCCTCCTCTTCTTCTTCTTCCTCCTCCTCCTCTGCCCCCTCTGCCAACTCCGGCGGGGTCCCGCTCTCTTCGATCTCCCTGCTGGAAGATGCTCAGCAGCCACAGCTGCAGCAGCAACAAAAGCCGCCACAGAGGCAGCCACCGGCTCAGCAGCATCAGCACTCGCATGCCGAGCGGACGGCTGGACTTGGCCCTCCCGGCCTGCCTGCCGTTTCGGTGACCATGACCCTGCCGGCCATTCCGGCCCTCCCCCGCCGGACGGTGACCACTCGCGTGCGGGCTCCCCGTCGGCGCCCGGGCAGCGAGGATGGCGCCGAGGCATCCGGGTCGCCGGATCGTGCCACACGCCGCTCCACCAGTCCCAGCTCTCCGTCCGGCGAGGTCGGCCCCGAGGGAGGCAGCCCCGGCCCGGAGGACGCTGATGCCGGGCCCCTCTTGTCGGACGCGTCGTCAGATGACTCGGCCACCGATCCCGACCCGCAGGGCGGCTCTACAGGCGGCAAGCCCGGCAGTCAGGCCAGCGGGAGCTCCTCCGTGTCGGACTTCGTCCGGCGCCTATACAAGTGCGCTCGCCCTGTCTCCCCCCTGTTTCGTGCTTCACACTTTGCCCCCCCCCCCCCCCCTCCTGCTCCTCCTCCCCCCTGTGCACCCTTCCCCTCCCCACACGACTGACCGTCGCCGCTGCCGCCCTGGCGAGAGCAGGATGCTTGAGGCCCCCTCCGAGATGGATGTCGTCTCATGGAGCCCCAATGGCGAGTCCTTCATCGTGCGCGATCCGGCCATCTTCTGCTCGACCGTCCTCCCGCGGTACTTCCGCCACGGGAACTTGGCTTCCTTCGTTCGGCAGTTGAACAAGTATGACTTCCACAAGGTCCGGTCTACATGCGCCCAGACCGGCGAAAGCGCCTACGGCGAGCGGGCATGGGAGTTCCGCCATGACCGTTTCCGTCGTGGCGACACCCAGAGCCTGTGCCTGATCAAGCGCAAGTCCTCTGGCGCCTCGCGCCGAACCCAGAGCCCGCCCCCCCCCCCCCCTTCCCCTCCCCTCCCCTCCCCTCCCTACTGCACCTCCGATGCGCCCCGCCGCCGATGCGCCTGTCCTAATGCCTTCCTCCGTTGTTCCGGCGGTGCCGCACCAGCTCGCAGCCGGACTTCCGATGCCGACTCGGTGGTCGATCGCGCCGGGCCCGGCGGCGCCCCTGGTGCCCCTGGCACTGGCGCTACCCTCTCGGGCGAGATGTCGGACATTGTCCGGCACCTGCTGTCCCGGGCGGCCATCGCCGAAGCCGCGGCTGCTCAGGCCCAAAAGCAAGTCCAAGCCTTGTCGACGATTGTCTACCGGCTGTTGGCCCCGTCGGCTGGGGTTCTGGCTGAGACCGGTGCGTGTGTCTCCTGCTGCTCTTTGCCCCATTTCTTCTGCATTTCCTTCCCCCCTTCCCCGGTGTCTTCCCTCCTTCCAGGGGTATCAGGCTCCCGATGGCTGACCTCCCCCCCCCCCCCCCTCTCGCGGACGTGTGTGCGTGCAGTCGCGAGGGCCCTCGCCCGTGCCATTCCGCCGGTGTGTGACTCTTCCGGCGCCAAGGAAGGCTGGAGCAGGCGTCGGCGCGACCGGGCCAGAGCCCGCAGTCGGAGGCTACACCGGACCCGGGCCAGGGGGTGTTTCAGGAGGACGCTGGTGGTGGCGCGGAAGAGCAAAAGCAGCCCCCCCCCCCCCCCCCCCCCCCCCCTGCGCGTGCTGCTGCATGTCTTCCCCCCTCTCCACCATGTCCAGTCCCCGACGTGCCGATCCTCTTCCAAGATCTGCTTCAGCTGACCGAGGCCTTCTCCCCGCCGTCGGTGGCCGGCGTCGGCCTCGGTGGCGCCTTCATGGCCGATGCTGCCCCGGAGCCGGGGTTCCACCCGGCGCATGGGGGTTCATACATCCACTCGGGTGGATATGCGGAAATTTCCGGCACCGGCATGCCGCTCGAGGTCAACTCCGCCTCCCTTCCCCTGAAGCCGGAGATGGCGTCTCATCATCATCCGATCAAGCGCGAGCATCATGGTGTCTCGGCGGAGCACTATCCCGGCCCCGGGGATTACCTTTGTGCGTGTGTCTGGCCAGGCCCTCCAGCCTTTCGGGGGGGGGGGGGGGGGGGGTGTCCTGGTTTCGCCTCCCCCCGCCTCTTTCCCCCTGACACGCACCTGCGAATGCTAACCCCCCCCCTCCCTCACCACCCCGATCCTCCCCTTTCCCTTCTCTTTCTCCCTCTTCTCCCCCCCCTCCCGCTGTCCTCCTTCGGCATGTAGCCAAGAAGCAGCGCCAAGAGTCGGCCGTCATGCACGACCCACAGGGCATCGCTCCGTCGTCGATGATGGACCGTCCGGTTTCCGCGGTGGATCCCTCGCTGGAGGATATGCAATTCGGCCAGAAGGTTCACAATGGCCCCGGCCGCCCGGGGGCCGATGCCACCGCATCCGGTCTGCCTCTTGAGGCCATCGAGCATGGCCCCGGCGCAGGCTCGACCATGATGGACGGCATTCAGCAGCACCAAATGTTGCTCCTCCAACAGCAGCAGCAGCAGCAGCAGCAGCAGCAGCAGCAGCAGCAGCAGCAGCAGCAGCAGCACTCGTCCGGCACCTTCGGCCACGGGGCCGAGGCCATGCGCGTTGCCTCCCCCGGGTTGCCCTCACACCAGGCGGACTTCCACCATGCCGGGCAGTTTGTTGACCCGCAGCTGGCAGCGGTGTCCGCCGGTTCCGGACCCACCGGGGCCCATGTGGGCTTCCACCTTGGTGCTGAGGGGGCCGCCGCCGCCGCCGCCGGCGCTGCCGCTCGGCGCCCGGGCCCCCTTCCATCGGGAGTCGATCCCGCGTCAATTCACGGGGGCACCGGGGGAGGACCGGCGCAGCCGGCCTCCTCCGGCTTCGGTGGGTCGGAAGCCGCCGCGGCCGGGGACAGCCTGCCGCCCTCTCAGCATGGGGCCGCGGCCGGGGTGCCCGGCCTCCGGCATCACCATCAGCACCAGCACCACCATCATCCGCATGGGGGTGGGGCCGATGCGGCAGGGGCTCTTGTCCGGGCCGGGCCCAATGGCGGCCCTCCTCGTGTGCTGGTGGTCGATGACGATCCGATTACCCTGCGTACCCTGTTGCAGATGCTGTCGAAGATCGGCTACAACGAGGTGTCCAAGGCCTCCAATGGAAGCGAGGCGCTGGAGCTGCTGCGCACTTCGCGGCACCAGCGCCCCTTCGACATTGTGCTGATGGACATCTTCATGCCGATCATGAACGGCCTGGATGCCACGGCGCAATTCCGCAAGTTCGATTCCCAGACACCGGTGGTCTTCATGTCGACGGACCAATCGCAGAAGACCCAGCAGCTGATCACGCAGCTTTCCGGCGCCCAGCAGGAGGGCCTGACCCTGTCGAAGCCGCTGAACATTTCCCGGCTGAGTGGGGTTTTGCAGCAGCTTCAGCGTCGGCTCTGTCTGTCGCCCTCGTCGGTGATGGGGGCCGTGGCGGCGGCGGCGGCCGCCGCCACCGAGGGCGGCGCCTTCCATGGCGGCGGCGGCGGCGTCTCTGGCACCGCGTCTCCGACGGTCTATCACTTCATGCCAGCCAGTAATGCGGCGATGCTGGCTCCGGGCTTGCACCCCCACATGCAGCATATGCACCACTCACAGTATCATCATCACCAGCAGCAGCACCAACAGCAGCAGCAATACCAGCAGCAGCAGCACCACCATCAGCACCAGCACCAGCAGCAGCAGCAGCAGCAGCAGCAGCAGCAGCA